GCTGGGGAAAGAGTTGTGGACAGAAGAACATTCCAGGAATATACACCTTGTTAGAAAACTACCACTCCTGGATCAAGAAGGTGACTGAGTTAGAGGGAAGGCCCTTTAGTGCTGAGAAAATGAAAGACTCTCCCAGACAAAAATCAAAGAGCTCTCAGGCTTCAGAATTTCCGGAGCCAGGCAGCCCCAGATTCTGGCTGCTGCTCTGCCCTGCATGGTGTTTTAAGCTAGTTTTCTACAAATAATAAAATAGATGCTATTCTTTTTCTTTTTAATTAATTAATTTATTTATTTATTTTTGGCTGTGTTGGGTCTTCGTTTCTGTGCGAGGGCTTTCTCTAGTTGTGGCGAGCGGGGGCCACTCTTCATCGCGGTGCGCGGGCCTCTCACTATCGCGGCCTCTCGTTGCGGAGCACAGGCTCCAGACGCGCAGGCTCAGTAGTTGTGGCTCACGGGCCCAGTTGCTCCGCGGCATGTGGGATCTTCCTGTACCGGGGCACGAACCCGTGTCCCCTGTATCGGCAGGTGGACTCTCAACCACTGTGCCACCAGGGAAGCCCTAAATTGGTGAACTTTGAACAAGCAGAGTGTCCTCCATAATGTGGGTGGGCCTCATCCAATTAGCTGAAGTCCTGAAAAGAACAAAAAGCCCAGCCTCCTCAAGCAAGAGGGCATGTCTCCAGCAGACTGCCTGTGGATTTCATCTGCACTTCTGCCTCTCCTGGCTCTCCACCTGCCCCTCAGCTCTCCTGGGTGTTGAGCCTGCCAGCCCACACTGCAGATTTGAACTTGCCAATCTCCCTAATCACATGATCCAATTCCTCATAACAAATACACCCACATAGACACACACTCACACTGCCTTACACCTTTCTCTGGAGAACTCTGACTAATACAGATTTTAGGACCAAGAGTGGTTCTAGAGAAACAAAATCTTAAAGATGAATTTTCTGAATTGGTGCTGTGATTTCCAGAATTAGGTCTCTAGTCAGATTAGATTGAAAGACACTAATGACTCTATTTCCAGTAGTAAAAAGAGCACTGACAGTCCATGAAGTGACGGGGCAAGAGAGATAAGCAAAGTATCACCACTGGAAACTCCTAATCCAACACTCGTAAGAAGCTAGGATCTGGGTGACCATGTGTATGATACTTTCAAATATTTTTTTCAAACTGATGAGCATGATGAGATTGGCTGGTTGCTCGTAATGTTACTGGACAAAGTGGAGAAAGAAAAGTTTGAGCTCAGGGATTCGAATTCCTAGCTCAAGGGCCCCATAAATGACCTGAAAGCTTCTATGTCTGCCCTGAAGGAGACCCTTACCCGCTGTAGCCACAGGGCTGAGAGGCTGAAAATCAGACCCGCAATCTCCCCCTGTGACTGGCTGAATTACAATGCGAGTTGAACTCCCAGCCTCCCAGGGTGTCTCCTGCTAAACCCAGGCCACGGACTGGGAAGGAATGGGATCCTGCAAGTTGGAATGGGGGTGTGTGGGAAGACCCTGATGGAGCTGGGGAACTTGAACCCTAAATTCTGATACATCTCCTCTGCCAGTGGCAGCGGTCTCTCTGTTCCCCAGGAGAAGTGGCCTCTCCACCCCCGCCCGTCCCAGGGTATTAACCCTGTGTTACCTGCGGAAAGGGTAATGACCGCCCCCGAGGCAGCTGACAAGCAAGACATTGCTGGTTCTCCCCAGTGTCGACCCCACCACCCTCTTGGCTTCTAGACCTCTGAGCAGACTCAAGTCCCAGCAGCCCCTAAAGTGAGGTACAAAGCGTGACCCGTGAGGAGGTGCACTACCCTCTGCGTTTTCTAACTCCTGCAGATAGAAACCAGGGCCACACGTGTGGGGATGGGTATTAAGGCTGTGGGATAAATCGTGGAAGGAACGTAAAGTTGGATCGGGCGGCATTTATTGCCACGGGCTCACTAAGCAGGGATTCTGCATCTAACTTTGCATCTTGGGGAGGAAGGAAGGGCTCTAAGAGTTTGCTTCGCTGCTTGGCTGAAATATGGCCAAAAGGAGACCCACAGTGAGTGAATTATAATTGCCAGACCTGCTTTGGTTTAATGTAGAGAAAGGGATTCCATGACTTAGGGAGACTGGAATGTTAGAGTGAGTTTGTCATTTGAAACTCACCCACCCTGGGAAGGTCCAGAAGACATGCCTTTCACCACGACTATGTGAGATATACTTGAGAGGGAAGCCCTGGCATCCCTGGCTCTTCTCTGTGGGCCAGACTTCAGAGAGGGAACTGCAGTCACGGAATTGGGAAACGTAACCACAATGAGAGTGATTGGATCCGTGGTGGCAGGGACCAGAGGCGGCACTCAAGCCCCGAAGGCAAGGAGGGAATAGTCCCTGTGATGGACAGCAGGGTCAATGCCGCAATCAGAATGGCCTGACTCCTGCAGACCTGCTGGCTAGCTCGTCATGGGGTTCCTAGAAGTGAAATAGACAGGAAACCTATTAATTCTTACTTGTTCTGTGTAAGCAGAAAATAGGTCAAGTGAAAAGAGTCTAACTTGAATAATAAAAACAAGAGTCATGGCTTGTTAATTCTCAGACTGGAGCCACTTTATAGACTCAGAACCCCTTGAATGAAGGACCCTAGTACACTATGGAATATTTATACTGTTAGTCATTCTCCCAGGCTTCCCCAAAAGGGCCCACAGGCCAACTGTGCATTGGGGAAGAGGAAATAATCAGACCTTTTAGGGACTACTGGAAGCTGACTCTGAACGCACCGGTTCCCTTCTCTGTAGAGTAAGAGATATTATGATGGGAAAGGCCATGTGGAAGCAACTAGAACTGCCCCTACCTAGGAAAATAGTCAACCACAAAAGCAGCCCTGCATTCCTGGAGGGATTGCAGAGATTAGTGCAATCATCAAGTACTTAAAAAACCCAAGGGTGGTGATTCCCACCACATCCCCAATTCAGCTCTCCCATCTGGCCTCCGCGGAAGACAGTCGGGTCTTTGAGAATGACAGAGGATTACTGTAAGCTTGCCAAGGTGGCGACTCCAATTCCAGCTGCTGTATCAGATGTGATTTCACTGCTTGAGTAAAGTGACACATCCCTTCCAGTATCTGCTATGCAGCTCTTGATCGGAAAGAATGCCTTTCTCTGCTTTCCTGTCCGTGAGAACCACCAGAAGCACTTTGTTCTCTGCTGACAAGGCCAGCATTACACCTTTACTGTCCCACCTCAGGTGGATATCAACTCTCCGGGCCTGTGTCATAGTTTAGTTCGCAGGGATCTTGATCACAAGACCCCATTCACTTGCACACGACAGCGCACTGGTGCATTACACTTATGACGTAATGCTGACTGGACCTAGTGAGCAAGAAGTAGCACCTGGGCTTCCCTGGTGGCGCCGTGGTTGAGAGTCCGCCTGCGATGCATGGGACACGGGTTCGTGCCCCGGTCCGGGAAGATCCCACGTGCCCGTGGAGCGGCTGGGCCCGTGAGCCGTGGCCGCTGAGCCTGCGCGTCCGGAGCCTGTGCTCCGCAACGGGAGAGGCCGCAACAGTGAGAGGCCCGCGTACCGCAAAAAAAAAAAAAAAAAAAAAAAAAACACCGCCCGTTTTGGCATGTAAAATGCTAAAAAAAAAAAAAAATCCAGAAATGACTTTTAAAGGGCTGGGAGTTGGCTAAAGTATAATGGAATGTTGGAATTGGAGAA